TGTGGATTAATGCACTTAGTTTATGATATGATCGATATTAGCAACATATGATGACATGAAACTTGTAAAATGCTTAAATGTTTTATTGTACATAATGCTATTATTTGTAGAGGGATGTAGCAATATTTCTGTTATGGGTTTGCTACAGAATTCCAATATTCAAAAATAATATAGGATCATACTCATAAAGAGCTTAATGAAACAAGTCAAAGCACTGGAATTTTTGTGGTGGGTGGACCTATATGGAACCGATGGGGTACCTTCAAATTTTGGTTTGTAGTGTATAAAAAAAATTAAAAATTGTAATTATAGTGCGTAACTTAGATAAATTAGAAACTAAATATTCAAGTATTATTAACTACAGGCATTTCAAGTATTATCTTAAGACTTTATCCATCACAACAAGAAGAGATTCACTTGTTATGCCCTGTATTGGACCTGTAAGTCTGTAACACGCAAACCTATTTGTTGGTAATTATGGCTAGGTACACATTTGGAAAGGAAAAAAAATATATATACTTTGCAACTGAAAAGTGAAAGAATAGGGTCAAGTTTCTTACCCTTTGTAAATCTTAAGCTCAAGATGATAAATCTACTTACCCTTTGTAAATCTTAAGCTCAAGATGATAAATCTGCTTACATTAAACAATCATTATTTTGCAATAACGATGCAAGAGTCCACACAACTTCAACTTCGTTAATTAGTTTCACCATCCAAACATTTTATGTAATTTTTTTCATGTTGACTTTATACGTATGGAACTGTAAGTACATTCATTGTAGTAGTGCATGTCATATTGTTTTTTTTTTCCAAAACTCTGCTATATCATGTATTCATGTATCAATTCAGCAAAGCCATTGTAATTTAACTTTTTCAAACAAAAGTTATGTTTGAGCAAAGAGCCAATATTTATCAGCAAATCACATAACCATGGATAGAATGTTAGTTTTATTGTCTTTTGTACCAGCAAAAGAAGTAAAAGGAACCATTTATTAGCAATATTTCAATATATTAAAACCTTCCTTCATTATGTACTAAGTTTAACATTGTGGGATGCGCATAGATCGATTCTGCTTTTGGGTAGATCCATATGAACTATATCACCTCCTTTAGCAATTTCAATCCTCTGATCAGCATCACAGGCTCCAATTTCTTTGATGGTCACTCTCTCAAGAGAAGACAAACAAACCAGCAAAAACTTTATATATAAGACAGGAAAGGTGATCTTGATCCGTATAAAGGAAAAATGCGCCAGCTTTTGCAAATGATTGAGCATGATATGCAAGCAGCTGGTGGCTTTCAAAGATTTGAAGCTGGTCTCACATCTACTTCAGACTCCTCAAAAATAAAAAGATAAAGATAGTTAGCATCCACAAGCAAAACAATGCAAAACAAATACACATCCAGCATTGTTCAATTTTTTCTGCCTGCAAAAGTTGTAGACTATGTAGTTTTCGGTTGAACAACAAAAAGGGTGTTGTGAAGCTGATTCAGATTGCAAAGCTTAATATACAACAATGAAAAACATTGGAACTTGTAAGCTGCTAAAATTGTGTGGAAGCCATCGTGGAGCTATAACGAAAAAGTGTGAGGAGGTTAAGATGAGATTCTAAGTCAGCACACACATGACATGAGGTACCATTTGAGGAATATATTAAACATAATTTATAACTGGAATATGAAAACGAGGGGTACAGCAAGAATCGAACTCGGGGTATAGCAAATGTTTTAATTATGAAATGTTTTAATTATCGGCATGTTGCTCAATTTGGCAAGTCTTCCATTTTTTTGGCCATTAATAGTTGATGGAAACTTCCTTCGGGTAATAAACTTCTTAATCTGTTTCTCAAATGGTCTCGTGCTTTTTTGGCTAACTTAAAAACTCTCCTCAATATTTATGGTTGTAGTTCCGACATGTGATTTACACAATGTTAAGATCTTATCGCATCTTTCATTGCTACACATTAAGTTTAGCAAAATCAATCAGGTTCACAGCGCCCTATTTGTTATTCACAACTACAGAAATTTGCAGAGTCTATGTGTGATCGTCTTAGAGGAGGAAAACAGTGAACATATGCTAGATGGGTATTTGTTCTGCTTTGCTTCGTTTATGGATGCTAAACATTTTCATCTTTTATTCGTTAAAATCCTGAATTAGTCGACATGGAGCCAGTGTCACATTTCTTGAAAGCCATTGGATTTTTAAACCGCATACTCAAATGTTTGCAAAATGTGGCTATATTTTCTGGACAAAGATCATGAACAGTCATATTGTTCATTAAGCTTTTGTTGGGTTGTTCGCCTTCTCTCAAGAGTATCACCATTAAGGTAAGTGCAGCCTGTGATGCTCAGCTGAGGCTTAATGTAGCTAAAGAGGTTAAGCATAAAATATTGTGGCACACAAAGACGATGGAAGGCTGGAACACATAATCACAATTGCTGATAACCGATTCTGTTTTAGATGTTTGACTAGTGCAAAGACAATAAAACTAACTACCATGGTTATGTGATTTGCTACTAATCGATTCTTTACTCGGTGACAACTATTTTTTATTTGGACGATTGTTTGGGTATTTCAAAATGCAGTGCTAAAATTGCAGGAAATGAAACTAGGATATAAACTAAGAGTAAAACACTTCCATTTATTTTTTATTCTTCCATCTTACAATCATTTCTTTATGTTAGATCAATTTAAATTTAAAAAAAATGTCATTAAGCATTGTACTTTGAATGATAGCAATGTACTCTTAAAAGTCTTTCAAAATGCAATGCTAACATTTTAATATGAAACTAGGATGCCATAATAAACAAATGTACAAAAATACATTGCTATTTCTTGCATCTAAAATTAAGAGTAAAACTCTTCCAATTATGTTTATTTAAGCATCTTACTTTCATTCTTTAGGTTACAAAACAAAATTTTCAAACATTTTCCTATTAAGGCTTTGTACTCTGAATGATATCATTCTACTCTGAAAAATCTACTCAGTGATAATTACTCTGTATTTGCATGCATGATGTTACGTGCAGATCTTTGAAAACACCAGGGGGAATTTATATGAGGAAGAAGGAAATTAGTTTATATTGATCACTTTGGCAATAAAAAACGTTAATAATTACGATGTCAACTTTAAGGGAGTGTGGGCCGCTACCCCACAAATAAAAGAAAATTAACCATAAACAACCTAAAGAAGACAGAAGGGTAAATTATATCAACCCAGCAATTACAAATTAAAAGTTTACACTTTACACGCATAAACTAATAAAAAATATTTGTAATGCAACGAAAAGAAAAAATGAACAACACACGTTTTTAGCCTAATGAGATAATTATTAGAAAATAATTGGAAGGTGCTTAGCCGCTCATGACGTGATGATTTGAAAATAATTAATTAAGTGTTATTTATAGGTTGATATGAGAAGTTGGGTTTTAATTAATGGCAATGTGGGATGAGGAATTAATGAGGTTTTTGTAGTAGGCTTAGGAAATACGGTTGTTGATAAATATGTGAGATGGCCATAAGTTCAATTATGTAGCGAACAAGGAATATAATAAGTTTTGGGAGTTTTTCTTGGGGTGAAAGAGTATGCCGTAAGATTTAGATTGTAGTGTTACGTGAGAGAGATGGTTTCTTTGCATGGTCATAGTAAGGTTAATGATTGGAATTTGGATTTGCATATAAGAACTTATGAGCATATATATATTTTTTAAACTATTTTTTAGCTATGGTTATAAAATTAATTAAATTTTCATATTAAAAAATTAAAGTTATTAATCAATTACTTTAAAAAAATTATTATTCAAAATATATTTTTTTAGTTATATCAAATTATAATCGTTGATTTAAATAAATACGTGAAGTTATACCATCTTATAATTTGTATCAGTTTTATTTTATTTTTTTAATATAATGTTATTAATTTAATACAATTAAAGTGAAAATTTTTAAATTTTGAATTAAAATTTAATATAATTAGGTGGGAAATTTAAATTTTGAAATGGATAATTAATATGTTGACAAGTGGTATTATATGGAACATATAATATTAATGAGGAGTTATAATATAATGATACTTGTCAATAGGAGAATAAACTTATTTATTTATTAGAACAGTGATTTCATTTTCCTCTAACTTACATGTGTGGTGATTACGTAAGGAACAGACGGTGGTGAATGGCTTTAATAAGGAAAGTATTAGAAGATATTATATTATTATTGTATATCCTTCTATATATTTGTTTATTGTGATTAATGAGAATTATCGAATTATATATTCATATTCCTTTACGGTATCAAAGCTTTCCAACCCAAATCCGTAATTCTCTTGATGGCTATGTCTGCTATTTCTATCTAAGATGCTCGGAGATGATCCAAACCCTTCCAACGGTTCTCTTTATATTGTATACATCCCGTAACAAACATCCAAAACAAAGTACATGTCTTCGATGCTATCAAAGTGACCTACTCCACGTGGGTCAAACTATTTAAACTCCATGCTCGTGGATACAAGGTGTTATCTCACATCAACGACATAGAACCACCAACCAAAACCGTTCCCGACTAGGCACAATGGAGTGAAATTGACGTTATTACCCTTTAATGGATCTATAGATCCCTATCTAAAGATCTAATCACTCGAGTCCTGGAGAACGATGTTTCTGCTCATCAAGTTTGGGAATAAGTCAAGCAAATATTTCTGAACAACAAGGGGTTTCACGCAGGTGCTCTTGAACATGAGTTCACAAATCTCACCCTCTAGTCTGTGAACTCCCTCGAAGACTATTGACTGAAAGACATTCACGATCAACTAGCAGATGTTAAATGTCTTGTCTTTGAAAATCCCTTGGTCCTCCAACTCGTTAGAGTATGACATCATCGCCTCCTACATCAATTAAACGTTTCCTGACTAGGATACATTCTCCAATTGGAGCAAAATCGTCAAGCTTTTCATGATAACAATACCACCAGCACCACTGGTCTCAAGGTGAATGAAGCCAATGTCGCATATGACTCCTCATCATCACGACCACCACCACGACATCCCTATGGAGGTCGGTAACACCTGCAGATTCGGGTTAATCAATTTAAAGACAATAAGCGCCAAAATTAACTTTTTTTTATATAACATTATTTAGAATATATAATCTTAAGCAAGTTATAGTATATGTCACAAGGGTTCCGTGTATATAAAGAATGTTGAAATCTGAGTTATAACAAATAGTTATGACCCGTTGAAGTTTTACGACAAAACCGGCACAACATTGAGAATCATAAAAAGTGAATTTACGATAAAATACTTTCTAGCCTTAGCGATCTAAACGTAATTCGTAGTATATGTTAAACTGAGATTGCATAAAACGAACGTCCAAATCTGACATCGTATGAGGAACTTATGATCTTTCTAAGATTTAGCATAATAGTGCACAGCCTGAAATTTGAATTTTAGATCAATCGATTTTTAGCAAAAATAATCTAAACAAGAAATGAAGATATCGTTAATAAGAGTTCAACGATAAAAAGACAATTGAAAACAGATCTTGTATGCGAAAGATATGGATAAAACTTAGTCCCTACTCTTCGAGCGCGGTGAACTCAATACAGTTTTGTAAATCTGAGATAGAATAAGAATTAGCCAACGAGATCTAAATAAAAGTTGTAGTACTCATAAATATCAACGCATGGATATAAAGAACGTCAATAATAGAGCTTGTATGTTAAAGATATGGACGAAACTTAGTCCCTACTCTTCGAGCGCGATAAATTCGATACAGTTTTGCAAATCGGAGATAAAATGAGAATTAGCTGCCGGGGTCTAAATGAAAGTTTTAGTACTCGTAAATACCAATGTTATGAACTTCCTTCTCATGTGTTTTATTGTCTAGAGTTGACAAAGTTAGAACTACATAATTGTTTCTACAAGCCACCAATTGAGTTTGAAGGATTTCTTAATCTTGAAGATCATTATCTTCAAAATGTTGATTTTGGGGCTAAGTTGTGTGGAAATCAAATCTGCTTGCCACAACTAAAGGAGTTGTCCATGTATTCATGCACAAATATATACAATTTCAACGTCAAGGCTACAAAACTACAAAGTTTGTTTGTCATTGCTTGTCTAGATGCCACGTTGCTCCCATTATTGCATAGTCAATGTCTTTCTCTCTTTGCTATAGACGATTTTGTTAGAGGGGAAAGGATGCATTTGGCCAGGGTGATAAGTAACTTGCCTGAAATTCAAGCTTTATTTATCGATGGTAATTCTCTTAAGGTATGATAAGAACTAAAAAGTTTAATGCTTACCATTTACTCTTCCTCAATAGAACTATCCAGTAATTGTTCCTAATGTAATTATCATGTTCTTTTAGGTAAGGCAAAGACTCACTTTCACTTCACAGTTTTTATGTGCAGAAAATGTTCCAAAGTGGCTTCCAGATCCGATTTGTAATTTAAAGCATTTTTCGTTTAGAAAAATTCAATTTGGTGATTGGATCAACTTGATGGTGTTCTTTGTTTGCTTCGGAACTCGCCAAATATAACACAACTCCTTGTGATGCACTTGGAGGTGGTAAAGTATATTTTTTTTTCTTAGAGTAAATTACAGAATGATCGTTTTGGTTTGGTCGAATTCTCAGTTTTGGTCCCTAGGTTTAAATTTGGATAGGATTCATCCCTGTGGTTTGTAAAAATTACACTGTAGGTCCTTGGTCCATATAAAGACCAAATTAACCTTTCTATCTTTTTATCTTTATATATATATATATATATATATATATATATATATATAGGTATATTATCGTTTTTTTATTTTTATTTTAATAGAGTTAATATAGATTATTAATAAAATTATTTTTATTTTTTTAAATCAATTATCTAAAGTATATAAAATCGTATTATTATTATTATTATTATTATTATTATTATTATTATTATTATTATTATTATTATTTATTTATTTTTTTTTTTTTATTTTTTTATTTATTTATCTTTGTTTTTGTGCTTTAAAAATCTTTTAATATATTTGATGTTTTATTTAAAAATATTTGTTAATGCTGTATTTTTTTGACGTTTTGTTCGTTTAAATTATATAATGATTTGCTTAAACTTTTTTTTCGAATAAACAAATTAATACAATAATCCGAACATGAACAAAAATTATCATTGATTTTGTTAAAAGAACGAACACGAACAATGTTCTCGTTCGTTCATTTATGTTTGTGAACATTCTTTTATGATGTCTTCTTATATTCATTTATGTTCGTTCATTTAATTTATTTATATTCATTTACGTTAATTTTTTTTATATTATATTATCATATTATATGTTCATTTATGTTCATATAGTTTCAATTGTGATTGTTTATCTTTGTTTGTTTATGTTCGTTTAGTATGTTCACGAACATAAACGAACGAACATAAACAAGATAATTTGTTAAATGAACGAACACGAAAAACAAAATCTCGTTTGTTAAAGAAAAAGAAAAAAGAAAGATAGGGTAATTTGGTCTTTTTATATGGATCAAGGACCTACAGTGCTATTTTCACAAACCACAAGGATGTAACCTATCAAATTTTAAATTTAGGAACCAAAACTTAGAATTCGACCAAACTACAATCACCATTTGTATAATTTATTGTTTTTCTTATATGAAACATGAGTTGGATGCTAAACTACGGTTGCATTTTATTTTATTGTATTTTATTCATTTATTCATTTATTGTATTTTCAGGGGCCTCAACTTGATGTGGGACCAGCTTCAAATCATTTGGAAGTCCCGGACTGCTTGGGCTATACATTGACTCAATTGCAAAGAGTCTTGATAAAATATTTAGAAGGATCATGACCTGAACTGCTTTTTATAAAGTTTCTTCTTGCTCACTCCCCTTCTCTTGAGACCTGTTACTGATGGGTTTTAGGTAAAACAAATAAACTAGAAAACAATTCCTAAGTTCACATGCAACCTACTTTGGATCTATGTTTTATCTATTGAACATACAACTTTGAATTGCAAAACAAGAACCCTAGAGGAGAGAGGCTATAATCGAAATCTACAAACTAGGGTTTAGTAATTACATACCTTTCAATTGTTATAGTAAACAATTGATGATTCCCTTGATCTTGATCTTAATCTTCTTGGAAGCTTAGCACCACAAGTGTAATGCCTCTAATGGAATCACACCCAAACTAGCAAGAAGGAAATTAGAGGAGAGAGGGAAGAGGGAGTATGCAAAATTTCGGTCCTTAGGGTTTCTTCCAAAGAAAAGAGTGACCAAAACATGAACTAGGAGGCTCCTTATATAGCTGAGGGATCTAGGGTTTAGGGGAAACCCTAGTTATCCTTTGCTTAGGGCCTAAGCAAACCCAAGGGCCTTATCCAAGCCCCTATGGACGAAATTACTAGGGTTTCCCCTAAAGATTTCGTCCACCCTTATCCAAGGGGGTTCTAGAGCCTTCCACTCAACTATTAGATAATTGCAAACTAGTCCCTGCACCTTATAATTAATTCTTTTAACCCCAAAATTAATTCTAATTAATTTCTGGCTAACAACTAATTAAACCAAATGATTTCTTATTAATATATTAATCTTTTAACATATTAATTCATTTATATTAATTTATTAATCTTATAATAAATTAATATCTCTCCTTTCATAATTTCCTTGTCCGGTTGCTAGGTTTGAGGGCAACCCAAAAGGACTGTGCTGCTATCAATTCAAGTACATACCAATTATAGTTATGGGCTTAGACACCTAATCCAACAGTCTCCCACTTGGATAAGTCTATAACTATAATTGCTAGTATGCCTTCTAAATTTGACCAACAAATTGTAGCTTCCAAAAAGCTGCTGCCGAACTCTGACCCAGTCAGTTACATGTCCTAAGATAAGTGATCATATAATCCTTCGTTCTGCTAGATATCCCTAGACAAAAGACATGGAATGCAATCTGATGGGTTTTAGCCATAAGAACTTTCCTATGTGCGCATGCAAAACCCTATTGCTCGGATCTAGGCTTTCTAATTAAACATGCTTTGAATCCAAGACTTCTAATAGCTAATTAGGTTAAATAACAATGATGAAACAGATCTAGAATCATACCTTTGAGTTCCTTGTTGATCTTGTTTGTCTTGGAGCTTCTAGAGTCACAAATGTCACTCCTCTAATGGCTTACAAACACCAATAGCAAGCAAGATGATTTAGGAGAGAGGATAGGGGAGGAATTCGGCCAGAGGTTCCTTACTTTAGGTTGTGTGTCGAATTCCCTCACCCCTAGGGTCTATTTATACTTGTAGACTCCTTAAGGGTTACCACCTAAACCCTAATTGGATAATCTTCTCTTAAAAGTTATCCAAATCCATTCCATAGATAACCCTATGGACGATTTTGGCTTATCCAAGCCCTAGAAATCGTCCATCCTATCTAGGATAAGGATTTACAGTCTAAAGTGTAACTATCAAACAATTGACAGTTTATACCCTCTTATTTAATTAATCTCTTTAAGTCACCAAATTAATACCAATTAATTTATGACTTATATTAATCAAATAGTCATATATTATTCCTTATAATATTTACTCTCTCTTAACAAATCATCCTTCAAGTTGCTATGGTGAAGGCAACCCAAAAGGACCATGCACAACCAGATATAGTTATAGCCTTAGACACTATTCCAACAGTCTCCCACTTGGATAAGTCTAGTAACTATACAAGTACAATTCGGTTTGCAATCGTAGCTCTCAAAGACGCTGTCAACTCTGATCTAATAAATCTTTTCCTTTAGATAAGGGATCTTACAGTCCTCTGTTAGATATCATGCTGACAATCCTATGGAATGGTTAGTCAGGCATTTAGATTTCTCGATCTCCGATTTATTCGACATAAAAACTTAATCGAACACATCAATTTAGTTCTGACCGGGCCCGACACATAAGTCAAATCAAATCATCGAGTGGCCAAGATATCTCTTCTACCCTCTTAGGATAAAATTTACAGATAAACTTCGACTTATATGCATTTACTTATTCATTAACCAACAATACACAACAATGCGTTTTATAACATCAAGTTACTGATGCGTTTTCGCATTATCAATGCACAATCAATTAACAAATAATAAACCATATATCTAGGTTTTAAGACTATATGATATTATCGTCTTGCGATCACCTTTTATATCGTATTCCATAAGGTGATTCCAGCAAGCGCGGGTTTATTCCAATGCTCAAAACCAGTTCATAAGCACTCATGAACGTTGCAGCAACCCTTGCTATGTCTAACACCATTTAGACATTCTACACACCAATTCATGACAATCTTCATTCATACCTACTCCCAACATATGAACGATTGTGGACCATTTGAATAATTCGATTATTCCTAATAAACTCAATTATTCTGGAAGTCAAAACATGCAAAGTGAAACAATAGTTAAACAACTAACATGTGACAGTAACTTTACTCATAAATAAAACTCCTTTATTTAATCATCAAATGTTAATTACATTTATCTATTATACGTTTCTAATACTATCTAATCTATACTAATATCATCCTTCAGCCCAATACTCCTAGCATGCTGCAAGTGCTTAACCCTACTCAGTCCCTTCGTAAGCGGATCTGCTGGGTTATCTTCTAATGATATCCTCTTCACTACGAGTTGTCCTTCTTCTACACGATGTCTAATGAAGTGATATTTTCTGTCGATATGTCGAGATCTACCATGATCCCTCGGTTCCTTGGTCAAGGCAACCGCACCTTCGTTATCACAGAAAATCTCCATGGGCTCCTTTATGGCCGGTACAACTCCAAGATCACCAATGAAGTTCTTTAGCATATTGCCTCCTTCGACGCTTCGCTCGCTGCGATGTACTCTGATTCGCACGTTGAATCAGCTACGGTTTCTTGCTTGGAACTCTTCCAAGTCACTGCTCCTCCATTTAGGGTAAAGACCCAGCCCGACTGCGAACGGTAGTTGTCCCTGTCGGTCTGAAAGCTGGCGTCACTATACCCTCGCACCTTCAAGTCATCACTCCCTCCAAGGACTAAGAACCATTCTTTCGTCCTCCGAAGGTACTTAAGGATGTTCTTCATCGCAATCCAATGTGCTTTGCCAGGGTTCCCTTGATATCTGCTAACCATGCTCAAAGCGAAGGCTACGTCAGGGCGAGTACAAGTCATAGCGTACATGATTGAGCCAACTGCGGAATCGTATGGTACTCGGCTCATTTCTGCTATCGCGGCTTCGGTACTCGGACTTTGAGTCTTACTCAACTTGGCATTTCCTTGTATCGGTAGTTCTCCCTTCTTTGAGTTTTCCATACTAAAACGTTTTAGTACCTTCTCTAAGTAAGTATTCTGACTAAGTCCAATTAGTCTCTTACTTCTTTCTCTTACTATCCTTATTCCCAAAATGTAAGAAGCCTCTCCGAGGTCCTTCATAGCGAAGCATTTCCCGAGCCAGGACTTAACCTCCTGCAGGGTCGGGATGTCGTTCCCCTATGAGTAATATGTCATCGACATATAAAACGAGAAAGCTTACT